AGGAGGTTTTTAAAGAGAGACCGGACATTCACATGTCTGAAATGGTATAAGCCATGATGGCAAACCTATGGCACGCATGCGGAGCCATTTGTTAGGTACGCGAGGCATTGCCCTGTCAGCTCCAGCGTGTGCAGCTCACTTCAGCCTTCATTTTAGGCTGTTTTTCACCCTCCGGAGGCTTCAGGAAAGCCCCCAACGCCCTTTGCCACCAGGTGGCCTTGGGGAGTGGGGAAAGAGCCTCTGGAGCCTAGGAAGGGCGAAAAATGGGTCCATCGTGCACCAAAAGCAGGGGGGAGGGCACACATAGAATTATGGGTGTGGGCATGCCCACGCACAACCCCCCTGCCCTCCTACCACTTTTAGCACATGGTGGGGAAAAGGTTAGCCATCAGTGGTACAGGGTCTCCTGCTTGAAACAGGGGAATGGACTAGAAGATCTCCAAGATCCCTTCCAATTGTGTTATTGGGAGACTAGCACATCTGGGGAGGGGAGGGGAGAATCCTCCTACCTTCATTTGATGTTCAACCATTGTTAATCCTCCATTACAAAGAACTGAGGTTCCTGGAGATGAAGACAAGGCCATGGGAATGTCTAGGAGTGAAAAAAAACAGCAAGGGAATAATTTGATAGCAAACATCTTAAGGATATTCTTGAGCATGAAGTGCAGAACACTGATTTTAGCCTATTTCTAGGCTAACTAGGGAACCCCTTTATGTGAGTCCTTTGCAGCCACAGCAACAAATACATAGAAGTCCACCCTGAGTGAGGGGAAAAGGGAAAGATAAGGAAGGATCAGGGATTGGATTCAGAGGCAGCTTTTTCTACCATGAATTTATGTATTAAAGAACCACAGAGGGGGACTCTGGATGCCTCAAACATATTCCCTCCCATATCCAGGGAGTTGTGCTGAGTTATTAAAATCAGGAATACTAAGTCTCGCCTGGCACCAACAAAGAGACAGAGTCCAATTCTCTCTCACATATACAAATAGTCCTCAAATTAAAGTCATTCATTTAGTGACCATTCAAAGTTACAACAGCACTGGAAAACCTAACTCCTGACAGCTTTTCACACGGCCATTGTAGCATCCCCTTGGTCACCTGAACAAACACTTGGCAACTAGTTCCTATTAATAATGGTCACATCATCCTGGGGTCATGTGCTCCCTCACTGGAGGCTTTTAAAAAGGGACTGGACAGCTAACTGTCTGAAATGGTATAAACAACCCCTCCTCAAGCAGGGGGTTGGAGTAGAAGACCTCCAAGGTCCCTTCCAACTCTGTTATTCACCTTCCCTTATCAGATAATCAGAGAAGATGATAAACACTTTTCAAAGTTGGGACTTGCTTCTTGGAATAGCCTACTGTAAAAGTGAAAAAGAAAAGCCCTTTTATGGCTATTGGACTTCTCTTCTATGTTTCTATAATGTTCACCTTCCCTTATCAGATTATCAGGGAAGACGACAGAAACACTTTTTCACAGCTGGGGCATGCCTTTTGGAATAGCCTACTGTAAAAATGAAAGAGTATAGACCTTTAATGGCAGTTGGGTTTCAACTCCCAGAATATCTGACACAGCTGGCTGATGGATTCTGGGAGTTGAAGTCCACTAGTCCTAAAAGTGCTCTACTTCCCCACCCGTGGCATAGAACGAGGTTTCTCAATCTTGGGAGCTGTAAGATATGTGGACTTCAACACACATGGGAAATTCTGGGAACTAAAGTCCACACATCATAAAGTTGCCCGAAGGAAAGGCGATACCTTTTTTTAAATACACACAAGACTAAGGAGGCAGCTAAATTGAACAATGAAAACGAATTCAGGGATGAAAGAAACGAGGGCAAAGAGATTAAAAGGTATCAGAAGGAGCCTTTACCCGATGCTCTTTCCGGAGGAGGCTCGTCCAGAGCAACTCCCCGAAAGAACAGCACCTGGGAGGGATCGCCCCCTTTTCTGCCCTCCGGTTTCGCAGCCATTGAACTCCAAGCCTCCCGGATCTGAAACAGAGTAGAGAAAAGGAAGTGACGGGAAACGATCAGGAAGGGCCAGCAAAAATGAAATTATAATAATCTCCGCAAGGAGAATGTTGGTGTGTGCTGGAGCGATTTTAGGAGCGCCCCCAAGAAGCTGCATTGAGAGTCTCCTATCCGAGCATTTCCCAGGAAGGAAGAAAGGAAGGATGGATGGATGGATGGATGGATGGATGGAAGGAAGGAAGGAAGGAAGG